TTTTTTTTTTTTTTTTTTTTTTTTTTTTTTTTTGGTTCTTTGCTTTTAAAATGAGTCAGGTAATCTTGTAGCTGAGAGCTGCACTTACCTGAACATTCAGGGATGGGGGATTCAGCTGTGTACGTGAGCCTTGGATTCCATGTGTTCTTGAGAGAGCATCCTGGAAGGTAAATTTGCTGAGATCAGCATGTTATATGTTTCATAGGCCTCTGCCTATCCCTTGGCTCTAGGAGAGATCCTGGCAGGGAGTAGCCAAAATGCTGCCCTCCTTTGTGCAGACGGGCGGCTGTGCATGGCACCTGGTACTGGTTCCTCCTTGTCTATACTGTGCTCACTTTCATTGGCTCTTCATCAGTTGCTTGTGCTGTGCAGGGCTGACTGGGTAAGATACAGCATTTCGTGCTGCATAGTCCTGGCTTCCATTCTCTGAAGGGAAGACACATCAAATCATGGCAGGATCACTGTGGATCATTGAAGAGCTCTGTGGTTCCTTTCTCTAGTCTAATTGGGTAAATGAAGTTTACTGGATTTAGGTGCAGTGAGGGGAGTCTGCTATGGCCTTACTTGGGCAGTGATATCAAGCTGCGATGAAAGCTCTCAGATCTTTATCACAGAAGAGAAGGAAGAACCAGGGACTATGCCCTACATATCTACTCCTTGTGATGATGACGACACTGGAGGACAGCCATTCAAGCATGTGGTCCTGTTCTAGAACCTAGACCCACCTGTGAGTCTCAGGCCACTTCAGAGGGTAGTCATGATGGTACTGTGTAGAATGAAGAGAGAAATACCTTTACACAAAGGTTCTTGATAAATTATGAAGCTGAAAGTTATACAAATTATATTTGCCTCATATTGTGGAAGAGTGACAAAAAAGTAAGTAACTTAATAACTGATTCTTAGTTTCAAAATTTAATTTTCAAATACAGTTTTTTTTTTGGGGGGATTAGATTGAACTTGGGACCTTTCCACGCAGGTGGCGGCAGCACTGAGGTAAATCCCCAGCCCTCAAATACATTTTTAAAAGAAAAGTTAGAATGTATACACTTTTCATGGTGGCTTACTGTCTTTGTGGAATTGTCTTTTGGCAATGAAGTATACTTAAGGATTTTTATTTTTATGTCTAATTTTGGGTTGGATAAGGATATGAAAGATGATTTAAATAGTAAGGTTATAAACTGAAATTTAATGTCACATATAATGATGTAGAGAAGAGAAGCCTTTTGTCACACCAGTCAACCATGGTG